GTGGGCTCATGCCCAATCAGTCCTGATCGGGAGAGGCTCGCACTGCCACTACAGCGCTTGCCAGCCATGAGCCCTGCACCTGGTGCCCTCCCAAGGGGAGTGGCCTGTGCGATCAGGCCAAAACTGGCTCTCCGACATCCCCCAAAGGGTCCTGGATTGCGAGAGGGTGCAGGCCACGCTGAGGGACCCCACCGATGCACGATCAGGCTGCAGAGGGACCGCAGAAGGGCTTCAGGGCATGTCCAGCCCATGTTGCTCAGTCCCCATTGGCTGGACCCCAGCAGCAAGCTAACCTACAGGTCGGAGCATCTGCCCTCTGGTGGTCAGTGCACTTCATAGCGAGCGGTTGAGCTGCCTTAGCATATCATTAGCATATTACGCTTTGATTGGTTGGTTGTTCTGCCGTTTGGTCTATTTGCATATTACCCTTTTATTATATAGGATGGGAGATGGTGACGTAACCATGAAACGATGTACATCAAGTCCGACATAACCCAAGAACTATCTGTAAGGTCCATCTATTGCAATGGGCAATATGTCTTTTTTAGTCTCTTTTAATCTACAGGTTCCTTCTCCATTCCTTTATTTTCCTTGGCAATACATTGGTTGAAGAATCCAGGTTTGCCTTGAGGCGTTTCCTAGTGTTGATTTGCTGAGTGCATCCCCTGGTGTTCAATGCATTTCCCACTCCTTTTTATTTCCTATAACTGGTAGTGGCATCTACAGGCTTGATCATATTTCTAAGTTCAATTTTTGGGGGACTAGAACACTTCATAGATGGTGGTGCTTTCATCTATCAGGAAGCACATCATGTCTGGTTGTCTCTTGTACTGTGTAGGTGATGATCGCTGTTACTGAAACTTAATATCTGGATCCATTACTTCATGGTGATATTCCAATTCTAAAATTCTATCTTCGTGCACTAGCCAAAATATTTATATAAACAGAAACTCCCTTCACCAGTGACTTTATGAAGCTAAATAGATGCTTCATTCTTTCCCTTTACTTACCAGTTCTTAAAATAATGAATTGATTCCCCTGCCATTCTCCAAAGGTGAGAAATATTTTTGTCATTATGAACTAATGAATTTAACCATATTTGTCTCCCAACTTAGGGCAGTTCTTACCTTTTTTTAAAAAAAATCCTCACCTGAGGATATGTTTTATTGGGAGGAAGGGAGAGGGAGAGAGACAGAGAAACATCTGATGTGAGAGAGAGACATCAATCAGTTGCCTCCTGCACACACCCCGACCAGGGGCTCAAACCTGAAACCTAGGTATGTGCCCTGACCAGGAATTGAACCTGAGACCCTTCGGTGCATCAAACAATCCTCCAACCAACTGAGCCACAGCAGCCAGGCCAGTTCTTAACCATCTTGAATTATCCCATCCTTTGGCCATTGAGAGCTCTTCAAAATTGCTCCCAAGTCTTTTTGACATAACCCTTTGATAGAAATCTCTCTTCAGAGCTGAAATATTATCTCAACGGGAAAACTGGCCATGAAAAATAAGGCAGCATTTTATTCCTGAGGTACTTTTCTCCCCCCTTTAATTTGAATGGGTTCCCTCCCAATGAAGGTCCCTCCCACCCAGCTCCCCTCACCCTCTTGACTTGAATGCTCCAGGACACTCTCACCTCTGGCTATACTGCCCTAGGCCTCCCTGCTTTGCTGGAGTTTCAAAAGGTGGAAAGTCAGAATTGGAATTGGCTTGGTGGCCCCGGGAGGACATCCAGGTGTTTTACCAGGTGTTAGGCTGGCAGGGCTGGGCCCAGGCTGACTTCCCAGGGGGTGCTCATCCCTCCTCATGTGAGATGTATAGCTCCAGCAGAGTCTAAGTTTTTTAAACATTTTAACTCTTTGCAGGCCTTCAATCTTATACATCTCACAAAAGGTCTGGGTTGCCCAGGCTCACAGCATCCTTAAGCACCTGCCTTTGTCTGAGCCCTTCCTGCCCTGACTGCATGCAATCCAGCCTCTCCTTCCAACTCTGCTGAGATTCCAGTTTTTCTCATCTCACCTCGTCTCCATCTCTATCCCTACCTCTCTCTTTCCAACCTCTAAGTGCCCATCTGGATTTGAACCCACATATGCTGGCTCCACAGTACCTGGCACTTGGTGCCTACCTCTGTTCCTTGTCACTGAGCACAACCCGTCCTCTGTCTTTATCCTCTTTGAACACATAACTATTTATTTTTAAAAAATGATAAATACATGCCCTCACCGGTTTGGCTCAGTGGATAGAGCGTCAGACTGCGGACTGAAGGGTCCCAGGTTCTATTCCGGTCAAGGGCATGTACCTTGGTTTCCGGCACATCCCCAGTGGGGGGTTTGCAGGAGGCAGCTGATTGATGTTTCTCTCTCACTGATGTTTCTAACTGTCTATCCCTCTCCCTTCCTCTCTGTAAAAAATCAATAAAATATATTTAAAAAATAATAATAAATACATAGTTTTCTGATTTCAGAATGAAGACATACACATAAAAATTTAAGTAATCTAAATTTTTTTGAACACATTAAGACACCTCTCTTGTCAGGCCTCAAAATAATCATCATCAAGTATTTGGTGTACTTCCTTCCAGACCTACATAAAAATTTACAAATATTTTTTCTCAAAATGTGCTTTTTCTATATGTACTCTCCTGCACATTACTTTGTTCACTTATTATGAACCGCTTCTTGTGTTGAGAACAGTTATATCTTCTGCATTGTATTTAACAGCTTCAGTTCTCCATTGATACCATAAATGACTTAGTTCCATACTGATGAGCATTAGGGGTTGTGTCCAGTTTTTCATTATTTCAAACAATGCTGCAATTAGCATCCTTGTACACTTAGCTTAGTACACTTGTGTAACTATTTCCATAGGAAAATTCCTGGAAATGGAATTTTTGAGTCAAAACCATGCACATTTTAAATTTTAATAAATACTGTTAAACTGACCTCCAAAAAGGCTGTATTAATCTACACTTACAATGACAGCCTCTTTCCTGCAAATATTTGCCGGACTGATGTTATGAATTTTTTTCAGTTTTGCCTGACAGGTGAAAAGTATTTTATTATTGTTTTATTTTGCATTATTTATTGTTAAGGTTGGACATGTTTATTGGTAATTTCTGTTTCTTTGGTGAACTGTTCATGCCCTCTTTTCACATTTGTTTGGGTTGTTTTTCTTTTTCTTATCAACTCAAAAATCTTTCTTGTATATTGTACCGATCATTTTCTCATGTGTTAGAAGAAAAATTTTCCCAGTTATGTTTGTAGATTGACTTGGCCATATATGTTTAAATTGTGAATGTGATCAAACTTAAAAATTTTCATTTGTGCCCGGCCAGTGTGGCTCAGTGGTTGAGCCTCGACCTATGAACCAGGAGAGGTCAGGGCACATGCCCAGGTTGCAGGCTTG